GCTGTCTGGCTTTGCCACCCACTACATCCACCCCCATCTACGGCCATCTTAACCTCGTCTTGCCACTGAAATGGGGTGGTGAGGGGGGAGTGAGCGCGCAAGACGCGTTGCAAGTTCGCCATCACTTTAAACTGTTTCACGCGCAAGTCCTCTGTGCTGGATCCACTCCGTGGGGCATGCGGTAGACGTCGTTGCCTGAGTTGCTTAAACTGCCGCCGCATCTGGCATTTGCGAATTTTTTAAATATGAATTACAAAATGGAACGCATCATCATAACTTGTTCGAATGCTTACTGGCAGTCAGAAAGTCACTTCATAGGGACGAGAATCGAGACGTGGGACATATAAGTGGTAATTTCAGGCCCACTTACACTCATCGGCCTGTGATACCCCGACCCCATACGGGATGTCTGGGATTTAAAAGCCACTCACTTGATCATCGCCTGGTTTCGGGCGACAAACTCTCTCCCACTTAAGCTGCAGTTCCACATTCTGCTGGCTGAGGTCGAAAACAATCAATGCCATTCTGGATTCGCCGACCTATCCTGACTGCAGTACGGAAATGGATATTAACTGCAGTGAAAGGACGTTAACCGATCAGATCAGGGGATAGGCTTGTCCACCATAGTTGATATTCCCGGCTGCAACCGGCAACGATACTCTTTTGTCGTAATTATCCACCAAATGAGTACAAAGAAGAGGATTTTGTGCAGGTTTTCTATAAAACACATTATAATTACTAGGAGTATTAAAATTTAGTGGAAAAAATGCACACACCATTGGTAGTCAGTGTTTACAGAGTGTGACCTCTGCAGACCGCTGAGAATAAACTCATTCAAAAACCGGCCTCCATTTGTGTCTGAAACAAGCTGGAACTATGTCGTACGATAACCAGTATTACAGCCCCACCTAAGTAATCCTCTCTGAATTAAACTATGCTTTAGAATTTCTGCTAACACTTCATGTGACCGCCCAACTACTGTAGGTCTCATCCCGCCAGACACCGCGTCCATTCCCTTTTCGAGCTGGTTGACAGGCTTAGATATGGCCGATGCTGTGAAATTTGTCCTCACGGCACATTAGAGCATTCCTCCCCTCGTGTTAATTTGACACGCTTAAATCCATCGCAATGCCCGAAGAGTCGTGGTTTGGGAATCCGCCAATTGACGGGACACCTCGGTTCTTCACAGAACTGGGAGTCTTGCCTAGAGGCTTTTTTGGCGTTCTTATGCATGCGAGGCTCAAAGCATCCTCACAGAAGCCCGGATCGTGTGTAGCACGCGTACACTGGCTACTTAGCTTCGCGATCACGCCCACCTCTGGTCGTTTTAACCCTGCCTTGTCATTGGAGTCAGGTGGTGAGAGAGGAGAGAGCGTGGCGGATACGATGCTAACACCTTAAACTATTTTGTGCGCAAATCACTGATTCTGGTTCACTCCGCAGGGCATGCGGTAGACATCATCGCCAGCGATGATTGACCTGTGGTCGCACCTGAAACTTGCAATTTTGGCACATGATCATTGTCATTTTGAATTAGCATTCGCTAACCTATCCTGGCTACAGAACAGAAAAGGGTACGGTTGGATACCAGTGTCGCAACACTCCGTTACTGATGCTAGTATTATTGCAGTTAGTTACCCATACTGTAAGCGTTGGTAGAGTAGCATTGGCAGCCGTGGTGGCGGTGGTAGTAGTATTACTACTAATAGTATGATTATTAGTAGTATTCGCCGTATCAGTGGTGCTAGACGGGGGAAAAAGTTTTCTTTAGTGTTGCGACACTGTATTCCCGCCAGTGGTTGTAGTATTAGTAGTAACAGCGGTAGTAGTGGTAGTAGTAGCAGTAGTAGTGGTGGTGGTAGTAGTAGTAGTATTAGTGGTAGTAGTAGTAGTAGTCCGCCCGTAAGACAGGCTGGTGGGGGAATAGACAATTCTAAGTGTTGCGACACTGTATTCCCGCCAAGGGTACCAATCGTGGTGGAAGGGCATTAACCGATCAGGTCAAGTGACATGCCCGTCCAGCATAGCAAATATTCCGCAGCAACCTGGGAGAGCAGATAGACACGTCACTTTCTAAATGGACATTTCATAGTCTTAAAAAATTTCGAGATTAAGAATGTTTCAACAATTAAAGATATCCCTTTCCTGGGTAAAAACTTGAGGAAAACATAACTGTCTACCAAAACAAGTATTAGAGGGCATATTTTGTATATTTTTACTATAAAAGGCTTTTAAATTAATAAGGACATCGAAAATTAATGGAAAAAATGCGACAAACCTCATTCTGTGAACAATCGGAATGGACCGAAATGATTTTGTTTTAAAATTAAAGACTGCTTGGCTTGAACAAAAAACTAGCTTGTTAAATCCCACTTTTAAAAAGCTTCTGAAGTTTGAGGTCGTTTTGTGTTCATTTTGAAAATTTTCCCCGCTCGTCAATGAATTTGTAGAAAGAGTGACACTCCTCTTGATGGTGCTGTGTTCAGGATATTTGGAGCATTATACTCCAATGTTTATATATCGTACACACCGAATATGCTTCTGCCTAAAACTTCTACTTATTTATATTTTTGGTAAACTTAAGCTCGCATTCAAAAAACCGTTGGGCCAAGTTTATTTGAAAAAACATTACGTTTTTTAGGTTGTGAGATTTTCCGTCCCATATTAGCCAACCCACTCCTCCACACCTGCGGCCTCAGATTAGTCCAGGCGCCATCGTTTTTGAAGACGATGGCCTGGTTCATCTGTTCGTCATTAGCGCGGCCTCTTGGTTTCGATGAGTCCGTGCAATGGATGCCTACCGCGAACTCAAGGGCCGGCATTTGAAGAAAAGACCGATTTACCAACAAATCCGTCCCCTTTGAAGGGAAATTAGATTCGAAGCCTATAAAACACTGAGAAGGGTTACCATATCATCTTAATAAAACTGGCCTAAGTTGTGGGCATAGTCCAAATGGGGAGTGGGCGTGTGAATGGGCTTACACATTCCCACTTACTATTATCTAACTGCTTTTTACTCACTCTATTAACTTAGTATTAGTAGCAAGCGTAAGTTTAATTTTTTTGTGTAACTAGCTCTTGCCGATGTTTTCATCTATGCATTAACGAGTTGCATTAAAAGTTTCGGAAAGCTTAACAAGGGTAAAGGCTTTATTTTACTTGTTCGTTGCTTGATTTTTAATCAAATAGTCGCGACTCTTAGTGCTAAATAAACTGCCCTGAGTTAAGCCGCAAAATCCCCCAGTATGTTATTACCGACAACGACAAGGGAGAATGGAATGGCCATTTCTGGCTTATTAGCCGTCGTCAGCCAATCATACCCCACCCCGAAATGTGGAACAACCGAGGCTCGAATTCGCGGCCTGTTAGTTAGAAGTCCACGGTGTTCCACACTTCAGGGTTGACTAATAAGCCAGAAATGGCCATTCCAGTCTCCCTTGTCTTTGTCGGTAATACCATTCTGCCTATATATCATGCGCCGTTGTGCGGCTGCTGGTTGGGCTCGAGGGAGAGCCCATAAGGCACAACGGAACGAGTGAGTTCGGTAAGAATGATCGGTGAGCGCCCCTTATCACTAAATTCCCCGGCAAATCATGAGGTTTGTGTCGCTGTCTCGGAGCCAAAACTCTAGTAGCCACACACTACGCGTTTTGTCGAGACTTCGACCGTCGTGACAGAAGATGTCCACCGTTTGCTCGGTTAGATGTTAGTTGGTTGCCCTCCCGGTGGCGAAAACTCCCAGCTACCTGTCGTACGGAACCGGTGGTAATAGGGGCTATACGGGTGGGGCAAATGAGTGGAGGCTAAATGGCGCTGGTAGTGTATGCCTGGAATTGACGCTCCTGCTAAAGTGAAAGCCTAATTTAAATAAGGCAGCGGCACGCAGGACGGCATAACGCAAGTGGGGTAAGACTTTAATGCCAAGAATATGTCTGAGCGGAAGAGAAAATCCGCAAATAATAGTTTATTGCCACTCTGGCCACACTTAGAATTAAAACTATGGCAGTAGTTGTGTGCTATATGTTAGTGGAGAATTGGTAGACACCCTATCTGCGCGACGGTTGTCCTTTTCGTACACGATCACGCCGGACTCTGCAGGAGGTCTGAAGTAAAAAGACCCAAGGACACCGGCAAACCGACAAAACGGAGAACTGCGCCAATCGGCTTAGGATGGTAATGAGAAGCATGACGAATCATAATCCGCCTAGGATAAATCTTTCACCCTTTACTAAAGCTTTACGTGTGAGGGGTGCAATACGATGGATCTATATAGGCATTTTTGCAGCGCCTCGTTCTCGGGGCGGTTACGTGAACAAGAAAGTCACCCTGACAGGGCTTCTGCGCGTGCACTTCCAGACATATTGAGAACGTAATCACAGCTACTGAAATGGTAGTGCCTTAAACTGGAAGTGCAGGAAAGGATCGCTAACTGGCAGGGCTATCAACTACCATCCTGCCGTTTGCTCCACAGCAGAGTGAGAGTAGGCACGGCAACTTGGGCGTGATTTCTTTTATAGTGATGAAAGACTTGCGCAGCATCTACCGTATTCTCTCCCCTCCGCGCGCCTCCTGGGTCCGGTGTCAAAACAGAGTGAGAGAGAGCGCACGCGGATGGAACAGCGTAAACCCGCACCTACGCGTGCCACAACATCCCTGGTCAGGCGCGAGTCCACAGCTCGGTTTGTCACTACATCCAAACTGTTGGCATTCATTATAGGTGCGCAGTTCCGACAACGCCCACAAGAATGCGATGTAACCCCCGTATTGGTCTAGCGCATCTTCAGCGTGGCCCGTTTTAGGGACAAACACGTGTTCCCACATCGTAGAGCATAAACAGCTACCAACACGCTTCTTGTTCACAAAATACGAAAAAGTTAACTATTTTTACTGCACTGCTAGGGGAAGGAGGGGATTGTTATTCAGTAAATGACTAAATGCCTGCATTTGCGCCTTTAGGCCTCCAGCACTCAAATGTGACGCATTGAGGCCGCCACTTTCAGATGTATGTCCGACTGCTACCCCTGGTGGTGCTGTTGCTGCAGCTCCAGTGGCCCCAACTGCCTGCCGGGTTCCGCGACTCTGATCTTATAGACAGCCTCACATTTGAGCGAAATGAACAGTCGGTTGTGACAGCTCCGGAAGCCCGACAGCCGGTCAGTAGACGCCACTCACCACCGCCACCGTCGTCCCCGCCGTCGACGCCACCAATCCGCGGACGCTCTCGCAACCGCCACCGGACCATCACTACGAAAACCACTTCCAATAACGGCGAGCAGACTTGTCCGGGGATAGTTTGTTTCATAGTCCAGCGGAGCGGAGGTTCGGTGCTGGACTGTCAGTTGGCTGCACCCTGGGACGATGACAACTCCGTCCGGATGCTCGAATGTACCTTCTGGCAACCACCGAACACATCTCTGCGACCGGCATTCGGCGGCGGTGGCGGCAGCAACAACATGCCCGAAGATAGTCCCGAGGACGGTGGCAGTCACGCCAAGTCTGTGCGCATTCGTCTGCGTCCCGAGCGTCCCACCGTTTACGGAGCCGCAATGCAGCGTGAGTCTGTGGACTGGGCAGAAAATGATGCTCTCCTAAGGCTGTGTTCCGCTGTGCGAGCTCACCTCCACCTCAGTGCCCGCTCGCAGCTCAAACTCTCCCTGATTATGTTGCAGATCCGTAAGATGACCCATCATGATCTGTCTCGGCTCTTCTCCATGGCTCAAGTCAGTGACCTCATCCTCTGGAACCCCGAGCACTGGGAGGAGACAAGTCTCCTTGATCAGCCGCCTGGTGTGGTGGGAGTCAGTCCGTTTATTCGTCTCACGGTCTACTGTGAGGCCGGAAATGCGGAACCGGCATTTTCTCGTCTGTGGATACCATGGACACGCTGGCAGATAAAGTTCCGTCAGTGTCGTGGACGTTACACTTGTTATCCCTGGCCGCCCGGTCAACCACTCTGTTGTAGCCCTGAGCGCTGCACGCAATTGCCCTACTTTGTCTTGACGCAGAAATCCGGACTCGGTCGTGAAGGTACTTCCTCAGAACAGTACCTAGCCCACTACACCTGCGAGGCAGAACCCCGCCAGGCGGATAATCCTCTGGCAGAATTGCATTTTCGACAGGGTTGTTGGACCCTGGCCAATCAGACACGCGATACTACTCCGGAGGCGACTGAAACTTCCTCCCAGTCGCTGGTTAGTAACTTTACGACTCTAGCGCCCACTATGACTGTTACACTGCCAACGTCAGCACAAGTGGTCACAAAGAGCACGACGGAAACGGACTTCCCAGTGACTTACTTTGATTCGTCAACCACTCTCGTCACCACCGAGAGCCTGGTCGGCGTTGGTCTGGCCGACGAACGAACGCGCATACGACGCTTAGTAGTGGGGATCATCTGCCTACTACTGCTCAACATTCTGCTGCTCGTTGTCTTTGTGACAATCGGTTGTTGTCTGAGACGTCGGTTGAGACGACGGCGAAAGCCTTCCATGGTGTGTCAAATGATCTCCGCTAGCAATGCCAGCGATCTCGTGCGAGAACAAGTTAATTCAGGTTCGTTATTACTATTTCGATGCTACTGAACAGTATATAGTAGGCATTTTATAGCATGTTGCACGCATCAGCGATCGGCGGCGTTTTCAAACACAAGTCATTAATGGGGCCTTTTCACGAAAAGTTATCGTAGGCGATCACTGTTTTGAAAGTTTTTTTCCGACGTCATATAACTCGACTCAAACTTCATACCGCAGAAACTTGCGATTTAAACTTGAGCGACAGGGCCCGCACGGGATTGGGGCTCAGAAATCTGATCTGATTTCAGGGTGGAGCTGTTTGCTCGGTCATCATAGGCTAGTCGCATAAGTACGAACGATCGATAAGGAGGTGCGCCACTTCCGCAAGTCACAAACAGTCAGAAAAGCATTACCGAAAAAAACAAGGGAACTGGAATGGGCATTTCTGGTTTCTTAGCCGCCATCATCTGGCCATATCGAGCCCTGAGGTAGGCAACACCCAAGAGGCCCAAACTCGCGACCTGTCGGTAAGAAGTCCAACACCCAAACCACTGCGCCACGGGCTATTTGTCCTGCCAGTTGAGGTCGGGTATATTAACAACTGTAGAAAGCTAATGACAAATAATAAGCCAGAAATGGCCATTCCAGTCTCCCTGTTATTAGTAGGTAATGCTGGTCTGCCTAAATTACGTGTGACTCTGCGGCTGTTGACCGTGCTCACGAGAAAAACACCGAGACACAGCGGAACGAGTGAGTTCCGTAACGCGATCGGTGCGCCCCCTTCCCCTACCATTGTAAAGCGTAAGCAGTCAACGTAATTTCAACGTACAGAAGGGGTGTGTTCTGCAAAGAACAATTCAGACTTCTTGCCTGAAACAAACGCATGCATGTGTCCTTTTCTGAACCTGTACCCTCTGATCCTCACTCGACTTACTTCCAGAATTTCGGTAAAAAATCTATTTTTTCGGGCATCGACATCACATTATTATTGTTATTTGTATGGTCGCAGCATTTTCGGATAAATATGGTCCTGTCTGACGATTTTGTTTAGATAAGAGCGTCCGTATAATCGGGATTCCTGACTAGTTGTGCCACTGGACCTTACGGTGCTCAGCTGGATAAAAGAATAATGCATACTCACACCTCCTAGATGTTTTAATTTATTTTCCTTGCCTTCCTTAAGTTTAAAGAATTCCCGATAGTTCCTTTGCGCAAATATTTTCGTGCATTAATTAAAATGTCCGACAGTCTCACCAAAAGAGCTTCCAAGGCTTGAGGAGGTCAGTTGCAAGCCTAACCTAGTGCTGGTGAAGTCTGGATATTTGTGCTATTTTTAGTGTCTGGCGGTACCCCGTGCCGGGCACCATCCTCCGTCCTAAGCTACACCTAAATTGTCTGAATGTATTTGCGCAGACGTTGAATGCATAATAGTCCATAATGCTTGACCGTGTTACAGATTCAAGTCGAACATTTTACCAAAACTTTAAAGATCATCGGCACCTGAAGAGAACTTGAGAGATCTTGCTGAACTAACTATACACATAGCCATCTCAGTGGAAATTGAATAAACAAGCCTGCTGCTTTTACTGCGATAGCATGTCCTAAACGGCAGAAAGATGAGGTTGCTCAATACCTTTCGCCTTTTCCTTTTAAGAGTCGCGTACATCTACCCCACCAGTGAATTTAGTATCAACCTTGTATCCCTATTGAAGGAGTCACCGGGTTTTATTTACTTAGTGGACTTACGTATCCAATCCTCACCGCCATCCACTTAGGGGCGTTCATTCATGACAGTTGGTCGTTTTTTGCTCTGACGGATGCTTCTATAACACGTGAGGCCTGCCAAACAGTTTTTCCGCTAAGGAATGTGCTGCATGTAAAGTAATTCAAATGCCTTTGGGGATCGCTCACTTACGGGAAGCTCATGGTTCAGGTAGTTTCAACGAGCGTTAGACAAACGGAACCAAAATAGGGCCAAGAGTCATCGACATTCCCCCGCTGAGGAGGAGGAGGAGGAGGAGGAGGAGAATGATAAAAAGGACGCTATTACAGATGTTTGCTTCTGACCTACTTCCTCACATAACAACGTACACGTCTTGTTTCCAATATGGCACGAGGTTTGCACAATCCCCGCGTCCGTATAGTTTTGCGATTTGCTGTCTCAACATATTTCGTTTCTGTACGTGTGGCCAGCATTTGAACTACCACTTTGATTACCATCAGATTGTGTGCAAACTTAGTTACTGCGCGACTAGCGGGGGCACTAACGATGGATCCCAAATTTAAACAAACCTGTTGGTTGCTAACAACTCAGGTGTGTACCGCAAATCTACGAGCCAGTGACTGTGACTCTCGGCTGACGGCCCCTTCACGCTATTGCTTTCGAAAATTAATTGTGGGGTGACTTGGAATTAAAAGTCCACGACTTTACAGTCAGCTTTTGCTAAATCGGTGCCTAATGCATCGGTACATGATTGAATTTATGTTTTGCTCATCAGCGAAAGAGACCCGTTGCCAGTATGCCAGTGTACTTGGAGTATCCAATAGATTTTCTTGGTAGCTCAAGTAAGGAGTTACGATAGTTTATTAGATGAACAACAATTTCCTTAAGCGACCGATCTTGGGGCCAAGTCAACACTCACTTCCAGCTCTTTAGTAGGCCGAATCTCCGAACGTCATTCTAATGACAGCTGATACTACTTTATAACTAAGTGATCCATTCAGACTCTCTTGTCAGTTCAGACATTAAACGCGCCGACCTCCCACGATTCAGATCGGGTCTAGTTTCTTTTTTACAGCATGCGATGTCTCACTGACAACAAATCCCACTTCCAAATGTTTAGGGCCCCTGAATGTCAAAGAGGGGACAACTGGGACACCCGTCAGCACCCCAAACGCACGGACCGCTCTTAACGGCTTCCAAAGCTACCGACCAGAGTTCACTTTTCCCCCAGTCAACCTGCCCATACAATCGAAGGAGGAAGAGCAGCTACTGAACCACGGCAACCAAACCGTCCCCGTTGCAGAGGTCTGTCTGTCTTCACCACCGCCCCCACCACTGTCGACGCAGTCAACCTTCCTCCAACGCTTACGCCTGCATGCACCATGGCGCCGACGTGGCAGCACTGGCCGCTACAAACATACTCTCGTGATAGAGCATCCCAACGCCTCCCCGACCATGGACTGGGGCATAAAGAACTTGCATCCCCTCTAGGTCACATGCTACAAAGGACCCCAACTCCATCCTCAGCGCCACAATCCCACCGCGGGCAACGTCTTCCGCTCTACCGCCCCCTGTGTACAGAAGTCACCTGACGAACTGGACTAGATATTGTCCGTGTGTACTAACATTCTTCCTATCTTTGTTCTATTGCTTTCCTTAATTACAAGCCTCATTTCCCAATTCGCCTCGTTTTATGTTCTTCCTTCTCTCCTTTCCAGTCTAGCGACCGGCTATTCCACTAGCGGGAGACGCGGCTATCTGTGTCCAGCCGCAGAAATGATGGACGGACATGTTCGGCGAAAAAGGTTACGTGGGTGACACGTTATTACGTGGGAAGGGTGGAGCACGACACACCGGGTCGTGCACGCATATCGCTTTTATTAGTTTACCATCCCTTCCCGGGAAACATAAGGTCTCAAACTCGAAGTACCCCCAGGGAGTGCTTTTGAAGAAGGTCTTGAGTGGGTAGCGTAACTCAAAAAACATTAACTAAGATACTGCAAGGAGATTTTAACCCGAACGGATTACTTAGGTGACACTGTAATGTTGATAAGTATGGAGCATAGTTCCAAGATACTGAATTCCCGCCAAGACGTTAGTTTGTGTGTGTGTCTTCCGGGTAGGCTGCCAAAGTTGTATTTGTCAAAAGATGGCTGCCTAAATGGTGTTGTCTTTCAACAGCGGAAGATAGTCGACAAAGATAAGGACACTGAGATGAAAATCTGCATTTATATATGTATTTGAATGTTCACAAGCGGAGCCCTTGATAACCCAATTTATGTGGAATAGCTTCGCATATTAAAATCTTGAATAAAACCGTACAAAATTAGACTGCGGCCACTTTATAATACAAAATAATTAACTGTCGCCAGTCAGCTTTACTCAATCTGAGAGTAGGTCAGGCCGGCTGACGACGACTGATGCGTCAGAGGTGGCCATCCCAATCTGACTTGTCTTCTCCGTTACTCAGCTTCTGCCTGTATTACTAGTTACCACGCGACTACCCTCGGGCCTTTGACTGGACCCCAAAGCACCGCAGGACGAATATATCGAGTAATCCGATCGATGAACGCACCTTCAACATAGTACTGCTTTGGTATATCGATTTTCGGGGTAATCTTAGATTAGTTGGGTTAGTTGGTACGAATTTTCACTTGGTAGCTGCACGAGTTAAAAAATAATATAACATTCCGTCACATTGTCCTGCACAAAACGAAGGTTTTTCAAGCAAATATGCGCGTTATGGAAAGGGATGTAATAATTAATAATAATACTTAATAATTATTATTGTTATTTTTATGTTTAGTAAAGACCCGTCGGGGTCCCATCAAAGAATGTGGCTGGGTATGCGGAAAAATGCCTCGAAAGTGCGCTAAGCAGATGTCAAATTGAATGCTTCACAGGAGGCCAAAGGCCCTTCGTCATAGGTCTCCCTTCTACGTACAAGTTATCCAAACATTTACGTATACTAAATGTTTCATGTCAGTGAGCGCGTGTATGGCATTTTTTTGACATTTAAATATTATTTTACCTATTGTACCCCTGGTTCTGGATATAAACGTGCAGGCTATACAGACTGAGTGACCGTCAAGCTGCCAAGGGGGTTTTTCTCTCAAATGAAAATAAAATTCTCACGTCGTATGGAATCGGTCAGTTTCGTCATGATACACATATTCGGGAGGGATTTAACATGATTTACCTGGTAGGTCATAAGGTAGGAGTTTTGTTAGCTACGTTATGTGATATTACGGTGGCGGGACGCGGTTCTCTTTGCTGTTTGATGGTAGCCGCCTTGCATTATTGAGGACTATGACAACATTAGTGGCCTTTGTGAGAGGGAATCCAGTGAAACAGTGCGAGCAGGAAATTAAAGTCGCACATAACACAGACGTCATCTGGTACCGCGCCTGCCGGGACGTCTTCACAGCCGCCCTATTGAAGGTAAAACAACAACTTGGCGTGCGTGGAATTGAAGTCCACATTGTCGAGATGACGGTCAGTCGTAGGAAGTAGACTCTTGGACGAATGCCTAGGCCATACTGGGTCATCGGCAGGTACGGCGGACATCAACACAAAGCTGTTTTCTAGCAAGTTAATGACAGGAACTGGTCCTCCCTAAGAACCATCAGTAAGAAACAGGTGGCCGGCGGAAGAGTAAGAACAACAGATGAATGGAGAACTGAAACTGAATATAGTGGCCTACCATCGGAAGAATATGAACAATATCCGGTTTACAACTCAACACATTTCGTGGACCCCACGACCGGTGGAAAAGTTCGCGAAAGACAGCGAAACCGAATAATCGAAGAGCGGTCAGAACCCAAAGGCGGAGTTGGGAACCTCTTGATGGTCGCCGGTTACGAAAGAATTCCGTGTAGGGGTGCAATGACTGAACATGAAGTAAGCTAATCCAAACCTTGTCGGAAACAGCGAAGCATCTTAACGAAGCAATATAAAGCACTTGAATTTGTTGACTGCTAGGTATGTTAGTGAAAAGCACGCAAAGTAGCGGACGGTGACCGCGGTACAGCCGCGCGGAAACCGGATTCATAGTCCTCGTCTAATAAAGGAATGGATAAGTTAATCCAATGACGCTATCGTGAGCTCATCTGAAGCGAATTATGATGGACTCGGAAACCGAATAACTCACTAACCCAGTTCATGATAAGAAGCCGATGGTAAACTATGCAGTGGAAAACTTAACTAAGTAATCGAAAAACGGACCGAAACCCATGGCAGACGTCGGTTACGAAAGATTTCCATGTCGTAGATGACCAGGAACCAGGAGAAGGCAGGCGAAAACCGGAGTGCTGGCCATCGTCCGATAAAATAATTCGTAAATCGATGTAATTATAACCATCTGAAGGAATCAGAAGTAGCAAACACCGAGTAAATGACTAACGCAGAATAAGTAAGGAAACCAATGACTATGTATGTGTACGACGGCGTAGCCGAGTAATCAAAAAACGAATCGATCCCATCTGAGCATCGAAGCCCATGACGGGCGTTGTTTACGGACGAGGATAAGCTTACTAAAGCGGTATAAATGAAGGAAATTATGGTCAGGTGTGTAAACAACATTGTATGGAGGATTGCTGTTATAGGTTGCCGAAACTAAGCAGTAGTACTTTCATTAAAGTCAGAACGTGGTAATAAGTGATAAGGAATGTTGGGTCGCATGGTGAGTCTTTTTCTTAGATTCTCATGGCGAATTAGGGGATGGGAAGACCATGGTTATTGAAACATGCAAGACAAATATCGCCTGCGGACCTCGTTTACAGCAAAGCCTTTTTGCTCTTAACGAGCTCTACTACGTCTCCTACTAAACTACGTTCGTGATGCCAGATGCGACGGATTTGTAACAAAGACAGTTCACTTGAATTGTCAGTGTAACAGTGTGCGTATAGCGCTTTTTTGGATTTACATATACATTGCAATACGCACAGAGGAAGAACCCCTCCCCAAACCTGCAGTAAGTGGATTTAATTACTCTAACCTTCGTTCTGTGGCAATAGTATCCAAAGGCCAAGCCTCATGGGGAAGGAATGAAATCTTGGAGGGGGGAGCTATAATGTGCCAAGAACCAATGGTCGTGGTGGGGCAATTGTTTTGCATGAAGGAACTCACTTTGCGCATGATATTCACACTTCTAAAAGACCTACCCTCTGTGTCGACCATATGCGAATAAGCAAGTGCAAAACTGACTGCTGACGGACAATAACACCATAATTGCGGTTCGCCTTTCCCTTGGATCAAATAACCTACTTAGTTACCGCATGCTGATGACCGTCTCGTGAGAATGTGCCTGTTGACCAGTGGTAGTCGGAGGCGTATGCCGGCAGCATAAATAAACATAGCTGAAAAGCGTAAATTTTTGTTATGTCATGCATAAACCACTAAATCAAAATGTTATCGTCGTTTTGTCGCATCTTACCCACGCGGAAAATGTTACACCACACTAATACTATTGCGTAAGTTCAGAGCAGTACCCCTAGCGTTACCTTTGTATACCTGTTTCGTGTTTCTAGGCTGTTTTGTCTTTCGCGCTCCCGAACAGTGGATTCAAACTGTGCAAAGAGCAAGCAAAAGATTTTGTCAAAAGTAAAGAGGACACACCTTCTCGAAATAGATACTATAAGGTCTTCTTTGAACCCGAGACACATTTACACCTGGGTTTCACGTGTCATTTAACGAAAATATTGAATCAGCTTTCCGAAAACGTTATAAACGGAAGATTGTAGTGATCTTCGCTGGTGGGGAAATTCGGCGAACGGTGCACATTATCACACTTAAATCAACTGCCGACCATTGCGAGGAATTCTATATTCGGAACGGAAATACCTGGCCTTCTGGCTTCGAATGACTGACAATGCCTTGTATCATTTCTTGGATATAGGACGTAGGCAAATTTCTGACTGGTGTTGACTGACTTCTCAGCATTCTAAAATTTATCAGGCGATGGAGCAATACCTTCCTCTCATTAAAAGTTACTAAATGCCCAAAATGAAATCGTATTTGTCTTATCATCACCAGATATTTAACTGTAAGCTGTAGACATATACTGTTAAATTGCGTACTTCAACGCCAAGCAACTGAAGTGAGCACAATCCGCTCCCAACTTGCTATATGTCAGGGTACCTTTTAGCCAATAGAACATTGGTTAATCGCCTAATATAATACGAGTTTTGACAGCGTATTTGCTTTTCATGGTTAGCTCCCCTTCACTGCCCAGTTTTACGAACGCTTAGTTCTGAAGAATTTTTATTCGAAAGAATCAGTGATTCTACGTCCATGATTTAGTGGAAAAAGGACATAGGAGATTCGGTATCAGAGGGAACTATACAATCCGCCTTTGTGACACACTTCATCTACTGTACACGCACAACTTTATCCCGACCGAATTTTTAACAAGTGGCCTTTCGCTTCGAACGTCCTAGTCTTAGCTAATGAACCTTGTTGGAATTTCGCGCAAGCGACCTTTTATGGTAAGTTACTTTACTGATGAATATACTGACTTATATTTCTGCAAAATAGGTTAAATGCTATGCAGATCAAAGTGCATCGCCACTGAGGCCTATAAGTAGGTCATTTGTTACGAACTTTCAATTGAGAGCTGCAGATGCTAAAAAGAATCCAGTATCCCGGCATACAGTCTTGTACAAGACGGCTGTTTTGTAAGCAACTATGCGCGTTATGTAAATGACCATGCGGAGAAAGGCCTCGAAAGTGCAGCCAGTAGATTTCAAGTTAAATACTTCTTATGGAGAAAAAGGCGCTTCATAATAGATCTCTCCGTAACGCAGAAGTCATCAAATGAACGATTCACACCAGTAAACGCTTAGTTTGAGCGCGTGAGTGACATTTTCCTACAAAATTAAATTTTTCGTCAACTTTACACCTGTTTCTGAATATAAACCTGTGAGATATACGGGCAGAGGGACAGTAAAGCTGCTAAGGGGTTTCTTCCTTTGAATGTAAATAAACTTCTCATATCGGATGGAATCAGTCGGTTTTGTCGTGGTGCACAATTTCGGAAGTAATTTAGGATGATTTTCCTTGTATACTGCCAGGTGGGTCATTAAGTTTGTCCTGGGTTACTTAGGTTACGTTATATTACAATTTCGCACGCAGATTTGCCTACCAATGTGCAAAAGATGAGCACCTCTGTAGCCATAGGACTGGGGACTTTGCGAAGCGCCTATTAATTTCGCCAGATTGCCCCAAATTGCCTCACGTTTGTGGGCCAGCATGTACAACATAATTTTCCAAAAAAAACTAAAAGGATCATGAGGACACCAGACGTATCCCAATATTAACTGGAAAAATTCCGTTAATATACCAATAGGCAAGGTGGTTTGTGCGGAATCAGAGGTATTTATGAGGAAAGACTGATATTTACCAGAAAAGAGCATATGGTTATAGGTTTAAACAAATGCATAGCAATTCCATCGACATGATATGAACTTCAAACGTAATCGAATTCTATTATGAGTACTAACGTTAATAAAAAAAAGTGGACAAACGCAGATACTGGGGATGCTCGTTAGGATTTGTCGCTATGAAATCTTTCCTTCTAAATGAAGGAAAATTTCCCCTTAGCAGGTTTGAGTCTGGATTTGGCCTGTTTTAAGTCAATCCCGGACTAAATTTGAGGAATTACCATAAATTAAGACTAATTTAAAAGGATTAACCTACAAAAATGACTTTAATTTCGAATTTAAGCACCAAAAGGCGGGAGACGCGACTTCATATCATGGGCCGGATTACTTGCACTAGTACACTCGTAAAATTTAGATGTTCCACTGGATGCTCAAGTCCATTCGCATTATTAGATTCGCATCCGGTGGACAAGTGACGAAAGCTATCTTGATGTAAGTGTAATAAAAACTCCTTTTGGCTAAATTCCCACTAATTATTCACGTGCTCATTTGTTGTAATCTTCCAGTATTTGTTGATCAGACCCTGACCTTGACTTTACTAAAACTTTTGAAAAAGCGGAAATGGGGACGTTTGCGGGCCACGCGCTGCCTGGGAGTTTTTTTCTTCTGTTTGGAATATGGTCTCTGGTGTTTCAGCTTAAAAAATATTACCGCCGAAAGCGCTTCGAACTTGGGTTCACTTCAGTGCCGGTAGATGTTTATCGCAATCAAATGACCACTCCCTGTCCGTGTCCCGGATCAGAAGGTTGTTGCAGCTCAAGGAAAATGCCTATCGACTCAATACTTAAGGCGACCTGCTGCGCCATCGGGATTATCGGCGAGGTTTACACTGGGTTTAATGGCGGGAAGTTCGTCTACATTGGAAACGCTCAGCATTCGACGATGTTTTCCATGTTCCTTTTGGCCGGTGTCTTTGAAATCTTAAATTTTTACCGTATTCTGCGCCTTCCACCGTAAGTTCGACATGCGTTATATGAGGTGCGAGAACAATACTGGCCAAGTAATCTATTTGGAAATTGTCCGGCAATTAATCGAATTAATTCTTGCAGTTGTGTGTTTTCCTTTGGACGCCTGTAATGGTTGTAGATGCATATATGCATCTATATATGCGAAAAATGAATATGAAGTCAGTATGCATTGCGCAAGTAGGTGACGTCAAGTAAAAGGACAAAATTTTTTAAGACTTTCAAAGATTCATGGAACTCGACGTTTAGTACCTTGTGACACAGTCTCCAATATGCTGTAGTGATTTTAAGCCTGTATCTCGGCAATTCTAAAATTTGTTACGGAGCTACAAATTAAACCGTTTTTTGCCGCATGTCTTTTGCACGTTCTTAATGCCCATTCTGTCGGAAAATCCTTTTAAACTGAATGGCGAGGAAGCGAATGCCTATTTAGTCGCATCCTACCATCTTCTGCATGCGGTTAAAATATGAAGACTTATATTGAAATGGTCGTTCTTCCCTTCCAGATCCTCGGACTATCTTTTTAACTTTCTTGCAATTACGACCGAGGGTATACTCTTTGTCTTTCATCTGCATGGTCGAACGCCTGCCGACATTTACGTCCACACAATTTTGATTTACGCCGTTCTCATTCTTATTGCTGTGGCCACATATGAAGCGGTGAATCTGCGATCTCACATTGCTGGCCTTCTTCGCTCTATCCTTATCATTCTTCAGGGGACGTGGTTCTGGCATGTAAGCCTCTGCTTTTTTGAATTTTCCACGTGTTGCGATGACACATTTGAATATGCTTTGCTACTTACTCATGTCTGGCTTCTTCTCATTGGTCGGTAACAGTCCTCGGTTGGTAATTAAAAGTGACTTGTACGACGCACCGAAGTGTACTGGAACCGCTCGTGTTCTGGTTTGCAATGAGAACTGGTTGTTGAGCGTTTTTAACTTTTAAGGTCCCCTATCTAAATGGACTGACTCCCTAAACCCCCGATAACTGTAACTTTTGACGCAAAACTCTTTTCAGTACTTTGCAGTTGACTTCTTTGAAAGTTGAGATTATTTTTACTTGGGATGTCTGCCCTTCTAGTCGATAAATTGGGGTTGAAGTCAGTTAAAAGTGTAATGGAAGGAAGATACAAAAAACAGGTTTGCATATGCAGGATTTCGAAGTGCGCGAGGTAAGTCAGTAGAATACCTATTATGCAGGGAATGCGGGACATTTAATGCCAGTATTGTAAACGAGCAGTCTACTAATCGCTTTTATTTTCTCACTTCAAAAGGCCGATGAGTTTACAAACACAAGGTGATGTGGCGTACGTAGACACAGGATTCCTCGTGGTTCAAACTGGAGTGGTTTTTGCAGAACGTTTAGACAGAAACTAAACTATGTTGTAGTTTATTTCAGAAATATTTAATGACAAGCACCTAAACATATTCGAAATATTGCACCCCTCAAAGGTTACTTTGGAACTTACTTTCCGGTTACTTTTGGCACAGACACTTAAAATACTTTTTAATAAAGTGTCCTGGGTAACAACTGTTAGTCAGAATGGTTTTGAAACAGTCAAAATCCGTGTCCAGGCTTTTATTAGCCGCAACAGTCCTTGCTACTTTAAACGAGGCTCTGTTTAATTACTGACCTTTTTATTTATTCACCAAGAGGACTAATCTTTTGATAATACACCTTATGCATTAATTAGGTTGTATAGTCTTGTCCCTTTCCGATTCGATGTTTTATATTCCATACAATTAAGTGGGCAGAAGGGGTCTTGGGGGCTTGATGTACAACGCTGGCCGGAAGTTCCACATCCATTAGGAGACTGGGACAGCAATTTCTGCCCAAATATTCGTCGTTAGTCAGCCCTAATCAAATCAGGTGAGCGTGATTTCAACAAAGTTACTATTTGTGATCACCAATCTCAGGAAAAAAGACCCGTGGCTAAGTGGTAGAGCGTTGACCATAAAAACACCTGCTGGAGGCTCAGGTGCTGCCAACTTGTGTCCGCCCATTTATACTCGGATAAACACCCCATCTACAGCAACAGAGGATTTCAGGTGGCAAGACAATGATAAACTAAGAATCGATAAAATACTTATGACCCTTCCGCCTGACCCCGTACGTAGACCATCTGCGATCTGTACGAGCGCATGTTTGTATTTTTGGTCCCATCTAATAGTCAGTGCTATAATTGGCTGAATGAAGGCAGAATAGGCCGAAATAGTATCTTTCAAACCTGCCTTTATTTGCTGCTGTTGCACGGTCGTTACCGATCATCAATACATCATAGGTCTTACGAAGTGAGGTATATAAACAGCTGGCGACCGACACTGAGTGTCACATGCTTAGTCGGCACATATATATATATGCGTGAACTGCAAGGCAGACATACCAAGGCAGGCTGGAATGGCCATTTCTGGCTTATTAGCCGTCGTCAGCCAGTCATACCCAAGCTCGAAGTGTGGAACACCCGAGCCTTGAACTCGCGACCTGTGTGTTAGAAGTCCACGCCTCTAATCACTGAGCCACGAGTCCGTTGCCCTGTCGGTTTTCGATCGGGAACATACAATGGTAGGGGGCGCTCACCGATCGTTCTTACGGAACTCACTCGTTCCGTTGTGTCTTAAGGGCTCTCTCTCGAGCCCAACCAGCAGCCGCACAGCGGCGCATGATATATAGGCAGAATGACATTACCGACAAAGACAAGGGAGACTGGAAGGGCCACTTCTGGCTTATTAGCCGTCGTCAGCCAGCCATACCCAAGCCCGAAGTGTGGAACACCCGAGCCTCGAACTCGCGACCTGTTGGTATAGAAGTCCACGCCTCTACCCACCGGGCCACGAGCCCGTTGCCCTGTCGGTTTTCGATCGGGAATATACAGTGGTAGGGGGCGCTCACCGATCGTTCATGCGCCGCTGTGCGGCTGCTGGTTGGGCTCGAGAGAGAGCCCTTAAGGCACAACGGAATGTGTGAGTTCCGTATGAACGATCGGTGAGGGCCCCCTATCATTGTATATTCCCGATCGAAAACCGACAGGGCAACGGGCTCGTGGCCCGGTGGGTAGAGGCGCAGACTTCTAAACCAACAGGTCGCGAGTTCGAGGCTGGGGTGTTCCACAGTTCGAGCTTGGGTATGGCTGGCTGACGACGGCCAATAAGCCAGAAATGGCCATTCCAGTCTCCCTTGTCTTTGTCGGTAATGTCATTCTGCCTATACATATACAAAAATATCTGGGGAACGACGACATAATCTTTGGGGTAGATTAATGCAGCCCTGTTTCGGGCTTATTTTGCTTTCCTTCAGCCAGTCATAACACCGACCAACAGCTGGGACCAGATACGCAAACCTGCTCACAGACACACCTGAGGCAATCGGTTCACCAGATGGGTCCTAAGCACTTCCTCGAACTGAAGTTCATCTGTGCTTCGCCACCTGCCATCCTCTGTCTCTGCAGATCGGGTAGTTACTTACTCAGGAATGTGCGCACACCGAGGCTTTTCTGCTTCGCAAAACAAATAGATCGGTGTGCGCCCATTCCTGAGTGAATATTTAGATATGTACGCGAACTTTAAGGCAGGCATACCAAAAATATAATCAAAAGACAAAGACTACTTTTTGGAAAAAGTTAGAAACCTTGTTTGGCAGCTTTTTGATGCTGGTTCCCCACGTCCCTGTCAGACGTGGAGAACCAATCAATGCATAGTGACAGGCACGACGGTTGTCTTCCAGCGTGAACATCGATCACCTGCCGTTGTAAGTGGGTTTTAAATGTTAACCGTTTTTAACCCATTAACTCAACGTCTAACTACGACCTGGAGAACAATTTTCGAAAATTTACCCTATAAAGTTTCCCACTTTTCCCAAAGAACGCATTTGCCTTCAAAATATATGTACACATCCATAAATGCATAGAAGCACACCGGTCCGCTAACTTTCCGAAACAAAGAAGCTTCTTCTCTTTTGAAAAAATGCATGTATATATACACGCGAGAAAGAAAGAAGAAGAAGGAGACTGATCGAGCGCCCGAACCAGGTGTTTATTTGTCTGAATTTTCGAACTTGTGAGGCAGTCAGCTGCCAGAGAAAGAGCAGCAACAGAATATGCCTACGTTTTCGCTCCCAAAATGCCCCATCGGGAACACCACCGATGATATCTCATGTTTTGCCATGCATAAAGAACGTTTCAGGGGCGACCAAATGCATTGCTGCGGTACCCACTGTCCCATAGCTAACGTATGCAGTAACTTCGTGGAAACTGAAACCGATCAGCTTAGGCGTGGTGTATCGTATTTCGTGCCTGACTTGTTCTTGTACTTACACAGGCCAGAATGAACTCATGTCCAGACTACGCATACACGAAAATAAGCCGGCTGTATGAGGGGGCGAAGAATTGTCGCAAGAGACCGTCAGGCCTTCGAAACCAGTCATAAGTTAAACTGCACGGCCAACATGGTAATCGTACTTGTCGAAAACAAGGCAAAACGAAAATTGGTTGAAGCCTGGACCTTGAATTAGGAGTAAGTCAATCGATGTATCGATTCGGCATCGCCATACAGAGCCCTGCGCAGTCACCTGCACCCTCTGCGTCACTGATTGTTAGTCGAAGAACATCCGCCATAATTGTCGCCTATTCTATTGCTGCTTGTTGCTCTGACGATGTACTCGTTTACGACATCGGAAGCTCACACACATTAAGTGGATGGTCCCATCTTTTAATCAGTCTTGTTCTTCCTTACTCCTAAAGACATCTGAAACTCGACTATTTGTGATCTACACGCGTCTATGTACGTATACTGTATATACGAGACTGCGGTGCGGAGGGAGGGATACAGAGGGATGGTTCCTGTGAAGAAGGGTCAGACACCTCCTACCCCTCCGTAGTGGTGATACTTCTCACCGAACTAATTGCCATCCCTGACGTTAGCGGATCGTAAGATGCTTTCCATGTTTCAGGTCGGAGCCATTCTCTATCCACCTGTTTCCTGGCTCCCAGTGTGGGATGAGCTCGCCGTGGAGAGTATTCCGCGTGCGGCCAACCTCTTCTGCCAGCATGTCCTCCTGGTTTTCGCGTGTGTCCTCCTCACGGCCACAGTGATGGGCTACGGTCTGCGAAACCCGCCCGCCAATGTTTCGGGACTAAATGGGGGAAAATCCGACGCCCGCACAGGCAGTGATCAACAACGCCTCCTCGACAGTGAGGATGTCAGCGACGAGGAGACCGAGTTGCTGGAGATGCGAGCCTGGAAACCGTTGCAGTGATTCTCAATACCCCCGCCCCTTCCTGCAGGCCATTCTCTGCGGAGATAATTCTTTCCTCCCCTTTCTGCATTCTATGCACATTCCTGCTGCCTCTAATTCGCCCACCCCACACACACACATTTCCCTGTCCTGTTATCACATCAAATAAACGCGCCTTTTTGAGCTTGCGCCAGCTCAAGTGTGTTGGCCGATCGGTCACAGATGCATATCAACCAGCAGGTTGACATTTTCGTTTAACTGTCCATTTCATGCCATTATCTTGACAGTTTTTGGACTGACAGTAGATTACGTTTGGTAATTAATCAAACTGTCCAGGACCTGTAAGTGTGTTTGTGCGTTAACTTGACTGCCTGTCAGTTTCAGATTGCGCTACATGTCTGTCTGCCTTTCTGGCATTGAACGTTAAATGCAGAGCTGACTCCTTACTCAGTTCGCTCACAAATCTTGATCTTTCAAGATGCCAACCCTCTGATGGGCTGCTCTAACTAGGTGAGACCCGACTGCCAGACGAGACTTGCTTCGCAGCCTTTAGAGGTGGGCAAGTCGCTCGCCATAGGGGTGGGGGTGTAGGACGATCGTTCTGAAGTCCGAAGATGGTGAAACAGAGGTTAAAACCGCAGCTTCTCGTTGGTCACTTTGCCGGCCGAGCACGAGGACTATCGCTCACATTATGTCGCTCAGATTAGGATTGGTCCGTCTTGCTTGGCAAAGATAAGCAGATGATGACTGCTCACCCGGCCGAGGTGCGTATGGTTCACGGTTCATCCAGTGCCAAATCACGGGATGGTTAGTTGGGCCTCTCTCGGCCACACAGCGTCTCTGACAGGGGGTTTATTGTCTCCTCTTGTTTGTCATCAGCAGTCTTCTGATTGGTAGGTAGATATTTGCTGACTCCGAGGTTTTGTGGTTCCGAAAGTTCCTCAGGTTATCCTAAAAGTGCTGATGGAGGGTTCATTCCTTGTGATCTCGTTCTAGAAGCTCGTGTCTTCTTCACATCCAGCATTTAGAAACAACGTCTTAGCTTTAGTTCGCAGTCGCATTGTCTCTAATGCCGATACTGTGGGTTTGTTAAATTGCAGCTTATTTCAAACGGGGTCATCTCGGTCGGCCGAAAAGACGATCATTGACTAGGTCTCGTACCGCCGACCATTACCGAAAGCATTGACTAGCCTGGGCAGCGTGTGTCGTCGTCTGCGAATCCAAGTAGGACGTCCATACTCCGGCTGGTGTTCAAGCATTCTTGTCCATTGATTTTGTCTGCTTTTGCGACGCACTTTCCCGAACATCAAGTACACAGTGGCTTTTGACAATGGAGTACCTAAGGGATTAACTTTTTCGGTACAGTGGGGCATCTAGATGGGTTTGTGAAGATCGTAAATATGTCTTGCGCCGGCCTCTGATAAGTCTTTGCGTAGTGGAGACTTCGCCATGAGGCGGGCTAGTCGACTTCCTCAACTTTCCCTCTTAGACAAGTCCTCTCCAATAGTGCCTAACAATGTGTGATTCCTTTGATTGTCTCCTCTGCTGGGATGCAGCAACACGCGTCCACCGGCCTGCAAAACTCTCCAAGGCAACGTCGTCTGTGTTAAGCCTTGTGGATTAACCCCGTAAAAAACGTCCGCTTGGACACGTGAAAATGGACCGCCGTATTGCCATTAACTTTCCCCTTAATTCCGGGAGATTTTAGTCGGAGTCGGGTAGGTTAGGAATGGGTTTGGACCTAAGTTTGTGTGAGTTATGGTTGGAGTTAGGGTATGGAAATAGGGGACCCTTGGAATTCAGCCCCCCGGGCACTCATAATACCCGGCGAGAGTCTATGTTCCGTTGCACCCTGCACGGGTCAGCAAAAGTAACTCGTGACTCTTCTTCCCATCGTGATTTTTTGAAATAGCCAGGTCCACAATTGTCCGATTTTCTCTCCCAATGGCCTCGTTTTGTGTACTTTGCTCGAGAGCTGAATACGGACGTCTGCCCGAAAACCGACTCGGAAAGTAATTTGACAGCAGCACATTTGATTTGATGAATGTCAGTTTGGAGGACTGTGGTGTCCTGCGATAGCGTTGTGTTCAGAAGTCTGATCAGATAATAATTTGCGAACATTCTAGTAAGCAAGAAATCCAATCACTTCAGCCCTTTGACAGTACCTTCGCAAGGCTGGCGAGTGCAGTTTAAAAGTCTGTTTTGTTCTGAATATGTTTTCTGCACAAATGGAAGATTATTATTGGAAGTAACCTGCACAAAAATCGAGGCCTATGCCTTGAAACCAGGGTCCCCAGGCACTTCTGTGCTTTGTCGTTCCCGAAAGCGCCCCGTTAGCTGCTGCCATATGTTAGCCGCGCAAATGCGTAGCCAGTCCTTCTGTTAAAAGTGATTAGCAACATTATTGGAGGTGATCTGAAGAAGCGTTGGGGTCTGTGACTAGTCACATGAAATGTTAATCGAAACACCGATGTGCATTTCAAACTGTGAAGGCTTGCCTAAGCGGTTTTGTAAGATTCTCAATCGCACAGCATTATCCCAAGTTAGTTCGGTCTGACCAGAATGCAAGTCGTTGAATGTGCTTCTTTCTGACAGCCTTCGAAATCCGCATTCGGTAAAAATGACTACTTGATTAGCATGCATTTTTTCTAATCGATTCCTGTCTACTTTCCGTTTTATCTTTTATGGAAAAATGCACTATTACACATTTTCTTGTATTAATTTGATAGAAAATGTGTCTTCTTATAATCTTATGCTTGAAAAACTTACTCCTTTCTACCTTAAAAAGTTTGTACGTTGTTCATTCAAATAACTTCGTATCTGTCCTCTTGCTTACGTTCTTTTAGAAGTATGCAAGATAATACACATCAATTTTAAAATTTTGTGGGCGTTATATAGTATGTTCTTGATGTCATCAGGATGTGTATAAATTTCCTCACACGGAGAGGATACAAATTTTCAATTATAAACCCTTAAAGCCAACGCAACAACTCATCAGTCTCAGAATTCTCGGGAACTCTAAAAATTTTTAAAACCTGAATATAGCCTTTCTACGAGTATATTATTTTAAAAGGGCGTGAGTCGCCACCAAATGAGTATAGAAAAGGAGATTCTTGTGCATGATTTCTTCAAAATATGTTTCAGTTTGTAATTTCATCGAAAATCAATGGAAAAAACGCATGTAATCTGAGCATCTACTTCTTACCGATTGTGGATATCGCAAGCAGTCGGAAGTAAGTACGCTCAAAAAGCGGCATTCTGGCGCAACTGAAATATCTTGGAATGATGTCACACGATAGCAACTATTACAACACCACCTAAGTAATCTTTCCTAATTGAAAACCCATTGCAGAAGTTCGATTAAAATTTCGCAAGATTGATCACGGACGTCCTCTGAGACTAGGATCCCTAGGCACTTCCACGCCAAGTCATCCTCGAAAACTGACTGCCAGCCACTCTCAAAGCCTTGTGAGCATGTCGGAAAAATACATTTCAGTCGTTAAGGGTTGTCTATTTAGAGGCTTTATGTTTTTTCCGAAGCAACACCCCTGCACTTGATTTAGCCTCATCTTAAATGTGTGGTGCTACTGAAACGTTCCGAGCCTAACCGCGACTTCAGCGAGAGTTTTTTGCAATCTAAATTTCGATAGTGGCGTTCGCGGTGGCTGATGCCGATTTCAGGACAAAGTACGTGTTTTCAGTTATATCACATCTGCCTTATTCTGTCTTCACAGAAATCCGATAAGGACGACGTCAAATTTAGCAGAATCCGAGAACCCCTCAAGGTTATTCAGCGGTTTTAGACGATTTACGGCGAGACAGATAGAGGACAATTCAATCATCAGGGTCAGTGTATATATGAAATGTTTTTATAGTGAAGGGAGCAGTGACTTTTATTACAATTACCAAAGGTTCTGAGGTCTTTGGCTTACTTAGGGCCACGATAATTCGGCCTGCATAGGAAAGCTTTATTGCACATCTTTCGTCATATAGCACCAAACATTTGGCCGAAGGCCAGAGAAAGAGTGAGACCTTGGGAATCATGAAAGCTGAGACTAAGGTGAATCTGTAAGTAGGCTTGCTGTTCGTTCGCTCCTAATAACATTAGAAGAGTGAAAAACCTCTGGCGCTATCCCCGCCTACCTTTATCACAAACGTCTCTACTCGGAAGGTAGGATCACACTAATGCAATTCTAGGCCTTCTGTCGGTGCACTTATGCAAATCACACACGAGAGTTGTCAGTAAGCACCCCCGAAGATGCAGATTATCGCCGCAGCAGAATGACACAATTTAGGCGACACTTTGAAATCGACCAATCAGATGACCTGCAGCATGCAACAATCGACGCCAAGCCATGGCAGCAAACCAAATCGCATCAGTGTGCGGTCGATACGATCGTCTGCCCTGAAGTGAGATGACAAGTCATGACAACGCTGACAAACTCCAAAATATACAGTTAACTTCAGTGTGAGTGTAAAAACCACTTCTCATTCATCGTTCCCCACTGACTGAGATTTCCTTGCCCTCCTGACTAGATGTGAGCTCACCAACGGCGGTTTATTCGGACCTCGTTATTCTTTCAAAAATTGCCTTATCTTTATTTATCAATAATCGCGCTCACTTTCTTTGCCAAATGACGTCGCACGATACGACTTCCGTCAGAAATTTGTTTATTTTTTATTTCTTCTTGCTCACCGTCCTGCGTGTTGTCCCAACTGTGAAACCCCCTCTGCCACCATTCAACGTATGATACAGTCCACAGGCTAGCCCTAGTTAGTGGTGGTCCTATACCCTACCGTTGCCGAATGCTGAATTGGAGAACATCTTATGGACCGTTTGCAGAACGTCTGTCTCCCTTGCCTATATTACCAAGTTCCCCCCCCCTCACACACGCCAACTGTCGTTCTTTGTCCTGAATATGGCTTATATTGAAACCAACAGAAAGTCTAACAGCTGGAGTAATTGACTGCCCTCGTGAGTTGAAGGAATATAGATTTTTCGTAGGTCTAACAGGCGCAAT